AAGATGAATTTAAACTTGTGGGCTCATATTAGGGATGTAAAAGCATGCCTACTCAGTAACCGGTTAACTGGCGGGGGGCATAGCCTCCCTCCCCTCTCACTGCAGCCCCTCTGTCCACAGCACAGCAGAACCCCAGCTGTAGCGTGGCATGGTGGGACTCTGGCCAGCCAGAGCAGCCCCTCCTCCCACAGCATGGCAGGACCCCGGACAGCTGGAACAGCCCCTCTGCCCATGGAGGTCTGGAGGAGCGATCCCTCTGGACCCCGGTTAACTGGTTAAAATTCTGTTGTTTAACCGGTTAACTTCTAAAGGGGTATTTACATCCCCCTAGTGATTTTGAATGCCTGTTGCTTTGCCTTGTCTTTGACTATGTGGACAGCGTCTGTGTTTGCACCTGGTAGGTTCTGGGGAATCTGAGGATTGGTGGCATCTTCTGTATAAACCTGCTGTCCCCTGGACCACACATCTGCATAGGGTTTGACGCTGTGCCTCTCCTTCGCCCTGCAAGGACCTGTGAAGCTGGGTGCATGCAGCCTGCCTCTACTTTGATGGCTCTGTGTGTAACTTTGTGATGAGGGCCTGTGCTGGTGGGGTTGCTATGGTACGTTTAGTGCAGCTGGGGATCCCATCCATGTGATAACACTACTGGAAGGGCCAAGCCCTGTGTTCTCTGCTTTGACGCCTCACTCAGCTGTGCTCTTTTCCTGCATGTGCTCTGACTTCATAAGCTGGGCCCACAAAATTTGTAGGCATCCTCAGTCCATGTCTAATGGTACTTAGCAAATGTGGCGCCACATGGAAATCACAGGGCCTGTTCATGTGAGGTTGTGAGTGCCCCCAGCACCGTGGAGTGTTGAGTAGGGATGTTAAAATGTGCTTATTTTGGTAAACACTTACATGGGGGGGGTTGCTCCATGGGAGTTGGTGATACAGAGGTAACAGCGTGGGAAGAGGCACTTAAAAGCCAACTCCTCGCGCATATCTGCTCCCTCCTGCCCCAGAGGCAGCAGCGTGGAGTGCTTGCAGGGGGCCTACTTAAAATCCAACTCCCCATGAGCACCGGCTTCTGCCTTTCTTCCACGCGCATGCCTCCCTCTCTGCTGCCTCTGATACAGAGGCAGCGGGGGGAGGAGGAGGGAGGCTGCATGTAATTGTGGTGATTAACTGATGAGTTTACATGTTTACATTAACACATCCCTAGTGTTGAGTCCTTAATGAGTGGGGTATGTCTGCCTTCAGTTTGCAATATGTCTAATTGGAAATCGGTTCAATTCTTGTATGTATGCTCTGACTGTAAAGCTACACCAGCACTGTATGACTAAGAGACTGGGGCATTCTAGTTTTTGTAGACCCTGCTAAAACTAAACAGTTAATAGATAAGATGGAGGTCCATTCAGCATTGAGGCCACGTCTACACTGACAAGCTTACAGCGGCGTGGCTGTACCGATACAGCTGTGCCGTTGTAGGATGGCTCAGGTAGCTGCGTTATGTCTATGGGTGAGAACTCTCATCAACATCATAAAAATAATTCAAGTTTTATTCTGAGTGGCGGTAGATTTGTTGGCTGGAGAGCGTCTCCCACCGACATAGTGCTGCGTACACAAGAGCTTATGCCATAAAAACTTGGATGTTCAGCGGGATTTTTTCCCACTGGGGAGCACTGTTACAAGTGCTAGTGTAAAAGGGGCCCGAGTTTCTCATGGCATTGCTGGTGGGGATGGAGGTGTGTGTGATGGGGAGAAAAGGGACGGTTATGGTAGCTTGGATACCATCATTGTGAAATACAATAATTCTGCATTTCCTGGTTTCTAAAACAAAGTTTTCTTTGTCTTTAAACTCCATCATTCTTTAGTTAATTCTCTTTTTCTCACTTCTGATTGTTTTCCCACAGGAAAACCTGGCTCTCATCTACTTCTGCAGTACCGTTTGTATGCATACATATGTGCACGTGTGTGTATTCCATGTGAAAAAAGTTTTAAAAAAATGCTGTTCTCCAGGCTTCATTAAAATGGGACAGTTGGGAAATACACGAGCCAAGACTTCCACAGCCGTGTTATTCTAGTGGGTACTTTCTAAGCTTTATAGCATATGTTTTACAACATATAAAAATAAAGTATCACACTACACCTTGAACCAGTTTAGACAGGAGTGGAAAATACTGTACTGAATGGAGAAGAGCGGCTGCGTTGATATTTCTGATGCAGGTTTTTTGGGGGTGGGTGGCTTTTTTTTTTTTTTTTGGACTGTGACCATAACATTTCACTAACATTTTTGCCTTTTAATTTCCGTTTTTAAAAATTAAATACTAGCTAAAAGAAGGAAATTGAATCTCTAGCTTTCTGTTTTGCAAAACTTCTCAGATCCTTGCTGTTGGGATATTCTGCTTGCAAAGCTAAGTGGCTGGTTGTTACTTGACCAAAGCTTTAAAAGCCAAATAAATTACTTAAACTACTCTGAGGACTTCAGTTTTTACAGTTAATTAGCCAATGCAACAAGATGAACACTGCAATGCAGACTGATAGTTTTCTCTTATGGATACACAGTCGTGAATTTGCAGATGTCTGTAACTTAAGACAAGTTTGCTTTCAAATCTATCAAAGTATAAAGAGGTGGAGAATTACTTACTTACCAAATTTGAAGTTTTGGAGGTCAGCTGCTTTGAGAGAGCCTTGCAAAATGAAAAAAAAAAGATACCTTTCATAATTTAAATCCTTCAAACTTTTGTTTAGAACAGACTCCAAAAATGGCAAATTCCAGTACAGCATTGTTTGAGAAAGTTGTTAGCATGTGAAAATGGGGAGGGAAATAATAATGGAAAGTCTGTGCAATTTGAATTAAAGCAGTACTGTAACTGTTAGCACAAGTACTGTAAAAGTTTTGTCTGACCATTGCAGACTTGTTGGTATTTTGTAATCTGGTATCCATGTTGATGTATCCAAGGTTTACAGCTGGCAAATCTGGTCTGTAGGAAACCCATGGGAAAATCTGGATTCTTGGCTATGATGGGCAGCGTAATCTGATCTCTCCGTGTTGGGATGGTTGAATGAGTCCATGTCAATGAAAAGATGTACGGTATTCTCCTTTTGCCAGAACAAATGGTGTTAAACAGAGGTGCGTTACTGCCTCGTTGTTAATTGGATGCTTCTTCACATCAATGCGAGATGCAACAATTCCTGATATTCCCAGTAGGTTACATAAGAGTCCAATCATAGTCTATATGCAACAGCAAAGGGGTCAGAAGGATTTGTTCTTCTTTGAGTAGTGTCCCTAAGGGCACTCCATTTCCTTTGGTAGGAGATTGTCCAGGAGCAGTGTCCATTGGGCCTATGCATGCCTTCATAGAGCCTCAGGCTGGCCCACTGAGGATATACAGGGCTGTGCGGGCGAACCACATTCAGTGCCTTTGCTAACACCGTAGCCTGAGAGGGAGCTCTAGAGAGTCTGGCTCCTGCATGTTTTGCAGTTCTGCACTTAGTTTAGTGTTTCTCTTTGTTGTTCCTATTGGATTTAGTGAGATAGCAGCGAGGGTTTGGATGATTTCCTCTCCCTTTTTCACCCTTTTTCTGGGGGAGCTTATTTGGCCTGGCTGATCATGCCGGGTTCTGCAGGGTACTTGGAGTAGATGCAGCTCAGCACAGTGGAGCTGGAGAATTTGCCTAGCAATACCCAGAGGGCTGGCGTGCACACCTTGTGGACTGCCCTCCCCGGCTATCTGAAGCAGCAGTGTGCCGATGAATGACCCCTCCATCCCCAAACCCCAGTTGTGTCTTGTCACCCCTGGCTGGAGACCAAGCTCTGTGTTGTTTTCAACCTCACAGTCCCCCACTCAGTGACTTTTTTTTCCTAGTTGTACGTAGTTGATTCATCGCTCTAGTGCAGTGTTAGACTTGGGAGTTTTCATTTAAGGGTTCGTTTATAACACCCTTTGTCAGGGTTTAAATATTGTCTGGGGGGGTGGGGGAGATGTCTCAATAACGATCTCCATGTGCTGTGATTGCCATGTCTTGGCAAAGCCCGTGTTAAGCAGTGGGATTCAATTTGCAGATCGAATCCCGAAACAGACTCGTGGGATAAGGCATCTTTGTCTGACGCAACTTTGGTTTAATCAGGCCACACGGCATTTTTGGCACCGAGGCCCTTCTCAGATCATGGGTCGCCCTGGGGGACGGGGGGGTCTGAAAGTTCTGCTGCGTCATGTCCTGGATTTGGCACCTCTCCGAAGAGAGAGAGTTGTTTCCTGTTGAGGAAAAGGTCTGGCTGGGGTGGCGCAAGGCCCCAGGGGGACTTATCTCCTCTCGGGAGGCACGTGGTTCAGCATATGGTGAATGCTGGTGTGCAGGGTGACAAGACCTGCTCCTAGCACCATGCAGGGAGGACAGAGGCTCCATACCATTCACTCCAGTTCTGGCCCCAGCGCGTTCATTGAGTCTGGTACCAACGAGGCTGATGCTGGCACCTGCTGCTTCCATGTCGGTGGCATATCAGGCAGCAGTGGACTTCCTCTGCCTTTCTGTCCTGACCTCTCCCTTGGTCCAAGACTTGGCCAGGGCTGCATCCTTTTATAACCCCATTGGCTGGGTGGGCTACTGAGCCCTGGGGTCTGTTGGCCCTAATGTTTCCTTTCCCCACTCCAGGGAGATAGGGCCAGTACTGGACTTGACACAAGGAGTTTCTTCAGTACACCTGTGGCCAGCTCTACCCATATTGCTGTGGCAGCAGTCAGCAAGTTGGATCAGCTACTCATAGCCTTAGGACTTGCTGCAATGCTCTCCCCAAAGCCTGGGACTCCTTGGCATCTAAATCAGAATTTTATTCCTCCTCGTCTCATTTGCCATGGTGAGGACTGTTTATGAAATGTCCTGGAAACCAGGATGGGTGCTTGTCTTGTGGTTGGGACGGGGGTCACCAATGCCCTATCCATCCTGAGTGGAATTCCCTCTGTACAGGCAGGAATATAGAGAGAGCCATGGGTATTCTTCCACCTTTGTCTTCATTCCAGCTCGTCACATCAGGAGCATCTTTGCTATGAATTGAGCCCGGAAGACCAATGACCCATCCTACCAGAGGATGTATTCCAGAGACTTATAAGGCAGCAGACTTTTCCACCCCTGCAACAAGCCTGCTCCAGGAATTTTGCCACTGGTGTATGTAACGTGATTCCTTTAACAATTTTACTCTCAACCTTTTCTTTCTTTCTTTCATTTATTACTAAACCTTTCCAATTTAGTTTCTAAAAAGATCAGCCCAGCCTGCTCTTTTGGGTCAGATCGGAGGTATAAAGTGACCTGGGACAGTGTTTGGATTGGTGAGATTGGTTTGCAAAACTCTCATCTGTGTAAGGAGGGGTGCGGGTTGTGGCACAGGAGAAGCTGGAGTGTCTTAGGGGATTGCCAGTGTAACTTCTTGCTGGTCAGAATGGTGGACAGAAGTGCTCTTTGTGACTGGTTTGGTGCCTTTATAGTGGAGGGTCCCTAGTTTTGGGCTGTGAGTAGCCCTGACTCTTAGTACATTTGCCCTGGTGTGACCCTTTCGGCGGTGGGGCAGGCTTCTGAGTGACTTTTACAACTATAATCTCTTCTCTAGAGGCAGGAGATTGGCCAGGAGATGTAGCGTGCATGCCCAAAGGCAAAAACGTAGGCATGTAGGGAGCTTTTCACTGCAAGAGTTTGGTACCTACAAGCTTTGGGTGCCAGTGGGGCCTGATTCTGAAATGTAGAGCTGGTTAGGCACCCTTGTTACGTATCGCTGAATAGTTAACCGTTACTGTCCACCTTCTACTATGTTGCCGAGATGGGTTTTTTATCAGTGTGATGTCAGTTTCAACTTCCAGATGGGACGTTTTTGGTCACTCATTTTGTGTGGTTGTGAGATAAAATAACCTACTACGCTGTATTGGTGTACCTAGAGGCAGGGGAGCTGAAGATGTAGTTTTAGATTAATACGTTTTGTTACGCACATGGATAAGCGTACACCAAATTGGCTAACAGAAATTGCCACGAGCAAGGGAAATCTGTTTTTTAAAGATATTCAGAGACCACCCATGTGATGCTATATAGAATAGGGGTGACCATTTTCGACACTATTGATGCTGCTGTTGCAGAATTGCAGTGAATCTTGCAAGATATACCGTGCAAGATATCAGGTGGAGAGTTATTTGCTCAATACGATAAAGCTTCTCTAGGTGTGTGCACCATGAGTTATAAATGTGTGTGATGTGTCTGTATCTCAAACCTGTTCTGTATTTCTGGGTGACCTCTCCAGACAGACTGGCATCACTACTATTCTAGCCTGTTTGATGGCCCACCAATGGAAGTCAGCTGCAGAATGACCTGCTTGAGAGATGTTAGGGGCTACACTTAAGAATCAGCAAGACATGTAGGGACATGCCAGAGCACAAGGGACTTCAAGGGACTTCCATGCCCATGTGTTTGAGACAATGGATGTGCAAGCCTCGTGGCAAAGGACACAAAATAGCAGCTGTATCATCTCCATTTGGTCTTCAGTCCTGCTCCTCACCTCTGGAGTAACTTCTCTACAAACTGAAGCTTTGGACAAAGCATCGATGGACCCATCCTAGCTTTGGATGTCTTCCAGAAGACTTCACAAGCCCTTCACCAGTGCTGCTAAGACCCTGATCTATGGACTTTGAAAGCCATATGTATAGACCCAATTGCTATTACCATTTGACATCTCTCTTCTCATTCTTTTCTTCTATAATAAACCTTTGGTCTTAGATATTTATGGAGTGGCTGGCAGTGTGATATTTTGGGTCAGATACAAATTGGTCTGGTACTGTGGCTGGCCTTCGGGGGCCAGAAGAACATTTTCTGCAGTGAATAGGGTTCTCACTAATTTTGCGCTTTACTGGACCTTTTTGCTGGTTGAGAGCCACTGCAAGAGTTTGGTTACCTACAAGGTTTGGGAGCCACTGGGGCCTGATTCTGAAATGTAGGTGCCTGAAGTGCTATGGTTAGGCACCCTTGTTACATATCGCTGAATTCCTTTATCGCAGTAAAGAGGGCTGTGTGATTTTTTTTTGTTCCACTTTTTGGTAACTAGTGGGGGAATCAGGAGCAGTTTGTGACTGGTTGGTGAATCGTTTGTATTAAGTTGAGTTTGGGGGGGACTTGACTCTCCTTTTTGCAGCCTGCCCTGACCGTGTCATTTTCAGTGTGGGCTACGCTAGGTACCTTGGGTCACAGGCAACTCTACAGGTTGGACCTCCCTGGTCTGGCACCTTCAGGTCCTGACTGGTCCTGAACAAGGGGATTTGCCAGACCAGAGGAGGTCCCTCCCCTCATGGCTTATTCTGCCCTGCTGCCCCTGGACTAGGGCTCCAGCCTGGCCCTGCTGCTGCCTGGCTCCAGCCCCTGCCCCCCTACGTAGGTACCTTGGGTCACAGGCAACTCTACAGGTTGGACCTCCCTGGTCTGGCACCTTCAGGTCCTGACTGGTCCTGAACAAGGGGATTTGCCAGACCAGAGGAGGTCCCTCCCCTCATGGCTTATTCTGCCCTGCTGCCCCTGGACTAGGGCTCCAGCCTGGCCCTGCTGCTGCCTGGCTCCAGCCCCTGCCCCCCTACGGCCTGCGCTCCCCGGGCTGGAGCTCCCTTGCCAGGGATGGAGTTCCCTGCCTGCCACGGGAGCTGCACGGCTGGGGACGGAGCCAGAGCTTTATGGCCACTGCCTGCTACCACCTGGCCACTGAGGCCAGAATTCCCTGCCACAACACCCTCCCCCCAACATAGGGCTCCCTAGTGAGTTGCTGGTCCCCCCACTGTGCTCCTGTCTCACCATCAGGCCTCTCTGTTCCTGGGCTCTCTGGTCCAGGAACATGTAATAAAGTGATAGGGAATAGCCAGCATGGGTTTGTGAAGAACAAGTCATGCCAAACTAATCTGATAGCTTTCTTTGATAGGATAACGAGCCTTGTGGATAAGGGAGAAGCGGTGGATGTCATATACCTAGACTTTAGTAAGGCATTTGATACAGTCTCGCATGATATTCTTATTGATAAACTAGGCAAATATAACTTAGATAGGGCCACGATAAGGTGGGTGCATAATTGGTTGGATAACCGTAGTCAGAGAGTTGTTGTTAACGGTTCTAAATCCTGCTGGAAAGGGATAACAAGTGGAGTTCCTCAAGGGTCTGTTTTGGGACCCGTACTGTTCAATATCTTCATCAATGATGTAGATATTGGGATAGAGAGTACGCTTATTAAGTTTGCAGATGATACCAAACTGGGTGGGGTTGCGACTTCTTTGGAGGATAGGGACATAATTCAAAATGACCGTAGCAAGTTAGAGAAATGGTCAGAGGTAAACAGGATGAGGTTTAATAAAGAGAAATGCAAAGTGCTCCACTTAGGAAGGAACAATCAGTTCCATACATACAAGATGGGAAGCGACTGTCTAGGAAGGAGCATGGCGGAAAGGGATCTAGGGGTCATAGTGGACCACAAGTTGAATATGAGTCAACAGTGTGATGCTGTTGCAAAAAAAGCAAATATGATTCTAGGTTGTATCAACAGGTGTGTTGTAAGCAAAACTCGTGAAGTCATTCTGCCGCTCTACTCTGCACTAGTTAGGCCTCAGCTGGAGTACTGTGTCCAGTTCTGGGCGCCACATTTCAAGAAAGATGTGGAGAAATTGGAAAGGGTACAGAGAAGAGCGACAAGAATGATTAAAGGTTTAGAGAACATGACCTATGAAGCCAGACTTCATGAACTGGGCTTGTCTAGTTTGGAAAAAAGAAGATTAAGGGGGGACATGATAGCGGTTTTCAAATATCTAAAAGGGCGTCACAAGGAGGAAGGAGAAAATTTGTTCCTCTTGGTTTCTGAGGACAGGACAAGGAGTAATAGGCTTAAAGTGCAGCAGGGGAGGTTTAGATTGGACATTAGGAAAAATTCCTAATGGTCAGGGGGGTCAAATATTGGAATAAATTGCCAAGGGAGGTGGTGGAATCTCCCTCTCTGGAGATATTTAAGAACAGGTTAGATAGACATCTGTCAGGGATGGTGTAGACGGAGCTTGGTCCTGCCTTGAGGGTGGGGGGCTGGACTCGATGACCTCTTGAGGTCCCTTCCAGTCCTATTATTCTATGATTCTATGATCCTATCCATGGTCCTGCCAGACCACACATGTTGCTGGACCAGAGAATCCTGGTTTAGGGAGGTACAACTTATACTGAATTTACTAGGATGAGCCAAATTAGTCTCTTCAGTCACAAATGCTCTTTAAACCTGAAAGCCAGCAATGCGTGGTTATGAAATGACTATTGTAATCAATCATGTCACTGATTTATAGGAAAAAGCTGCTTAGAATTAATGTTGCTGTGCTAAGGAAAGAGCTGTTTAAAACACAAAACCAACCAAAAAATTCCAGCCCCACCACTGAGTCTGAGGTCTATTAGGTTGGCGATCCAGAGTGGTCACAAAGAAAACCCCCCACCCCATTCACCACCTAAAAAATCATGCAGACTGGCTGGATTGAGAGCTTGTTGGCTTTGTCCTGCAACTGAAACTTGCCTTCGCTTCCAGCATCTTTTGTATGTAACCCAGCAAATCTTCTAAAGGAAAAGCCAAAGGTAGCTTTATAGTGAGAGCATGAAGTCTGGAGAACTCATAGAGAACATGTCTACTTGTAGAGCAAGTTCTGTTGCTCCATAGTAGGGAAGGCGGGGTCTCTTTCAGCCCCTTGTCCACAAAAGCAGCAGCAGCTCAGATGAAAGGCTAATTTAGAAATTTCCACAGCATCACAAATCGTGGGCTTTACATGTCATAAAATTCAGATGTCTCTCATAAGTCGTAGCCTTGAACACTAAGCCTGTACCCAGTAACCCCGAGCACACAGCAGCTCTGAAGCAACGAAGTAGATTTGCCCAGCAGGGCTGGGCAAAATACGGCCCCCGGGCCGGATCTGGCCCGCCAGGCCCCAGGATCTGGCCCGGGGACCACCCAGCCGGAACCCACAGGCCCATCCTCAGCTCCTATTGGCCGTAAATAATTGGCCAATAAGAACTGACCTCAGCCAATCTCTCAGCTCCTATTGGCTGGAAACAGCCAGCCAATCAGAGCTGAGAGATTGACCTGAGAGACAGGGGCAGTCGCCCTGTGTCGCCACATGGAT